TACTGTAAGTCTGTGGTCCAGATCGACGGGACTTTCTTGTATGGAAAATACAAGCAAGTTTTATTATTGGCAGTTGTCCAATATGGTAATCGCAACATTCTTCCAGTTGTTTTTGCTCTTGTTGAAGGAGAAGATACAAATTCTTGGGTTTTTTTTCCTCTGAAACATACTTTCACATGTTATCATGAGGGAAAAATATGTATCATTTCAGATCGCGGAGTTGGGATCAAAGCAACAATGGAGTCTTTGGGTCCAATGTGACAACCACCCTTTTTCCAACATAGGTATTGTATCCGACACATTGTTGTGAACTACCACAGAAGGTACAATAAGAATGACGAGCGTCAATTACTTGTGCGCATGGGTAAGTGAAATTGATGTAGTTTGTTTTCTTTTGATCATTTTCATTTTTTAAGAAATAAAGTTAGTAATTTATACATTTTATGCTCAGGTTACGAACTATTACCTCAAACATTTGAATCCATGATTTAAGATTTGCGGGCGAAGAACGAGTAATGATACGATTACATCAGCCTCATCGATAAAGAAATGTAGAAAAACGCATATGATGGTAGATATCGATATGGACACATGACGATCAACTTGGCTGAGGCAATCAATTCAACATTAAAGGGTGCATGTCACTTACCTGCAGCGACTTTGGTAAAAACTACATATTTTTGTTTAGGGGCGCTTTTTGCGAAGCTCAGGGGACAAGCTCAAACATGGATGCAAGGCGGTCATGTCTATCACCCTATATTAGTTACAGATCAAAAAAATTGTTGCGTCAAATGGAATGTCTGTAACAAGCTTCTCTAGAACACATGAATTGTTTCGTGTCACAGAGTTGTCGCGACTTCTTCAAGGGATTGAAGCTGTGTCGTTAAGAGTAAATCTATGAGACAGATGGTGCGACTGCGGGTTTTTTCAAGCTCTGAATTATCAATGCTATCACGTGATAGCAACTTGCTCGCATACCCGTCAAGACTATAACCGTTTTGTGGATCTCGTATACTTACTATCAGAAGTTTTTAAGGTATACAAATTTGAGTTCCCCCATAGGTAATGACAAAGACCTTGATCAGGTTCAGAATTAGGTTCCAATTGTACCAAATCTGAGTTTATTGAGGGAGTGTGGTCGTCCAAAATCCACTAGAATTCATTGTGATATGGATATTCGAGAAACATTTAGACATGACAAAAATGTGGGCATTGTAGAAACTCATACACACTAGAAGAACATGTCCACTTCTTTTGTCATCAAGTAACAATTGATGAGGAACTGATGTAGTTGTTGTTTCTCAAATAATATTTACTTAAAGTTAATGTCATTTGATAACCATTAATGATGATTAAAAAACAATTCAATGAAAACGGGATTCGACGTTGGCGTTATATGTGATTATAATAAAAGAGATAATAAGTGACAAACTTAAGAAAGTTATCGAACACAATTATTAAATATTACTCAACTAATAGAAATTTCGTATTTGAATATAATTTTAAATACAACGAACTTATAATAAGTATTAAATGGTAAATAAAAAAATTACAGTAACTGGTATTAAATGGTAATAAACAAAATTAACAAAATAAATTAAGTATTAAATGATAAATAATAATAAAATTTACAATAAAGAAAGTCCAATAAACAAGTAAATACAAATATAAAAAAATATAAAAAACTATCGATGTATGCGGTGCGAATATGTTCGCAGGGCGGTGGCTGTCGGTCTCGAGGAGGATTTTTTTGTATAACTGGTTGTGACTCCTCACTGTCATCGTCGTCGTCGTCGTCGTCGTCGTTAGGAGCAAATATATTTTGTTGATGAGGAACTGATGACGATGTAACACCTCCATAAAATAAGGATCCTGAGGTGTATGAATGACTAACCCACCGCTCATAGATAACTGGAAAAACTCATAAAACCCAGACATCGATGAATAAGAAAACTGTACAGGAGGTGTTTGTGTGGCGACCATCGGTGATGAGACTGCACCCGCCAAATAATCAACATATAAACCCCATGTCTGATCTGCAAACATAGACTCATAATATCCTCCATTAGGGGTCATATAACTCTGTGACGGTGGCAGTGGTGGTATCTGGTAAGGAAAAAACAATGGTGCCATCAGATATGGCTGCGAGGTATAGGTCGATGCAGACGGTGGCTGTTGTGAAGGTCCTATTGGTGTAGCTGAGGAAGAATCGGAAGCACCTACCCTCCGTCCCCGAGTCGGGGGACGAGTGACGATGCACGTCTCTATCGACGTCGATGAAAGCTCCGTCCTCGTGCATCCTCAGAAAGCAGAAATGGTTTCCCGTTACTGTTGAACCACTCATAATAACCATATGCAACCGTCAAGAGGTCATCATAAATGAGCTCTCTATGGGGAAGGCGCCGATGTCGATCCTCCCACATCACGACCCACTCATGATGCTTCACCGGCCAATCTGTATCCGACTTACTGCGTCGATCTGTGCTATGTAACTTGTCCATATTGCGGGGTACTTCCGGAATTGGTTGTACAAAACCAAATTGTCGAAGCACGCGATCAGTGGAGTGCCACTCGATAATCGCATAACATATCAAAGGGACCACCTTCCATCTAAACATTTGATGAGCCCCTCAACTCAGGTAGGATGCACATCCTCACATCATCATTACAATATGAACCTATTCAAACTAAAACAAATATATATAATTTTTTATCAAAATAATAATCTAATTATATAACTATAATACAAAAATCAATTTTTAAACATTAAAATGCATACCTCTGTGTCAGTCTTCTGATCGATTAACACCCTCATTTTTTTAAATCATCACGTAGCTCCCGATGATTTTTTCTGTCAGTAGACCACCTATTCAAGGAAATATTTTTATTATACACTGTATAAAATGATTAATATAAGAAATCAGTTTTATAATTACCTCATTATTAGCGGAAATACGAATGGGTTCTTCACAACAGGACATAAAAAGTGCAATCGATACTATGCCCAAGACTGCAGTAGAAGAGACATCCACCAATAGCATTTTTCTTGTAGTCAGTCGCTCGACACATCTCCCTATACAGGAAAGCCAAACCTGTTGAGCCCCAACTCAGTGATCCTGCCAGATGAAAGTCGCTAAGATGTCGCAACCACATACAGTGAACTTGGTTGCACGATTTGTCCGACATCATCAACTCTCTAATCAGCTGCAGTATGCATGCCCGTGCATACATTTTAACTTCATCATCAGAGGCGTCATCGCTCAACTCCCAAAAATTTGCATCTGACCAATTTAACGGTATCCGACCACCGTTAAAATTTTTGCGGGACACCTCCTAGATAATCCCGGCACAAAGTAGTCCAGTTACCGTGTGCCATCCCTGAAATCACATCTCCATCCACCGAAAGCCCCAAGTGCATAGAAACATCCTCAAGCGTAATCGTGCACTTTCCGCACGGAAGATGGAATGTGTGGGTCTCCGGCCTCCAACGCTCCACTAATGCAGAAACAAGGTATGGTTCTATCTTACAATGACCTTCATATCTACTTATGTGACCGAATCCAGCCTCGACTAAATACGGCCAGACACGGGTAGGTATCACTAACTTAAGGTTCATAATAAAATGATCTAATACAGTCGCTCTCCTAAAATATTAATAATTACAAAAATTAATTTATAAACTAATAATCATGCATTAAATAAATAAATTATTACTAATAATTTAAATTAAATTAAAATGTAAAAATGCTACCGTATCAGCATAATGACTCGATATATGATTTCTATCCAAACGAAGAAAACCACAGTCTATTTCATAACTGCAAAAAAATAATAATTAAATAAAATATTAAAATAATTAAATAAAATACAAATAAAGTATTAAATATAATAAAATATACCTTAAGTAGAGAGAAATTAAGAGGATTTGGTGTGATGAAAATGATTGAGAATGAAGATATTTAATATTTATAGGGGTGTGAACGGTCTAAAATTAAAGGAAATGCACGGCCCCTGCACCGCGCTATACCCCTACGTGGTATAAGGCAGGCCCTAGGGATCGCGCCTTAGCCAGCGTGTATCTATGTCAGCGTAAGGCGTACTTCAGGGGGAGCGCCTTATCCCACGTGACACCAGATCAGTGTAATACGCGTTTCAGGGACGCCTTCCAACTAAGAGTGTCTAATAGGGAGAAAAAAGTTTCGGGTGATTTATCGGGAAAATCGCCATGAACCTGACAATAGAGAAGCATGGAATATACCCATAGGAATACGCCCACCTCTTTGAATCGAACAATATTCGGATGCTTTAATGATTAATGGTCTATGGTTGGCGGTTTCCCATTGTTCGTGTTCGTCAATCTGCAACAAAACCAAACAAGAAAAACATAAACCCTTTCCATAAATGATATTTAGGTCGACATGACAGAGAAGAAGAAGAAATCGAAAAGATTCCAGAGTTAAAAAGGGTATGAACATCACCACAGTAGCTGTTTTGTCCATTTATCTTTGACAAGTTCAGCCACTCCAAAGTCCAATGAATTTTGTTGGAGATTTGGAAGCTCAAAATACATAATTACAGGCATCATAACATTTGTATTTTGGTTTTCTCCATTGTAGAGTCCACGTGGAAGCTTGTCAGCCTTCACATCCATCACCAGTATACGTTATTAAGACTGCCTATAACACTTTTATGGACATTAAGATAAACCTGGGGCGGGGAGGTTGGTGATATTAAAGAAAGTCACCGCCGATCCTCTGCTCCTAATGTCATTTTAGGAAGATGGAGGATGTAGAAACTAGTGGCACACAAACAAAATCAAAATAAAATCTAAATTACAATTACAAGGAGTGCTTTTTAATGCAATCAATGACAACTCAACACCAATCTTAGCATGAACGTGAAGTCACTAAAACCGTAGAAGAATGAAAAAACACCTATCTATGCATATATATAATATTCTCTCTGTCTCTCACAGTGCAATCACAAAAAGGCCTATTAGCTTCTTCCATAACCATCACTTTCTCATACAATACCATGGTTAGCACCAATTATTTTCCTCTCCCACCACCTCATTATATTCCAACTCCTCCAAAAGCACCACCGCCTCCACATAACCCCATCACACCACCTCAACCACATCATCCATCGCCACCTGCTATAAGACCACCACCTCCACCCGCACCTGCAACAAAACCACCACCCTCTCCTATTGTGACTCCACCTCCACCACCTCAAAATGTTTCTCCGCCATCACCGCCTCATGTGCTTCAGCCTCCTCCTCCACCACCGCCTCACTCTATTTCTCCGCCATTACCACCTCATGTAGTTCCACCTCCACCACCACCACCTGGACATCATTCAACTGTAATAGTCGTCGTCTTTGTTTCTCTCGGCGGTCTGTTCTTTCTGGCATTCCTCTCAGCTGCTTTATTCTGCTTCCTTAAGAAGAGAAAGAAGAAAATGGTTCAAAAAGCAGAAATAATAAACATAGATGAACATGTGAAAGTCCAAGAAGCCATTGTACCAGGCCCCCACGGTGAACAAAACACCGTATTATTTATAGAAGGGGATATTCATATCGACGAGGAAATCAAGAAAAACAAAAACATTAGTGAAGGAATACCTCATTCACATCTTAAATCTTCACAAGAAATTTCTGATGGATGTGGTAGCAGCACAGGAAACTAAGTTGAGAAAATGAATGGCATCAGCAGCAAACTAAGAGGTCCATCGATCGTAATGGTCCATAATAATCCTTCTATGCTCTATTTTTTATTGAATTATTTTTCTTTCTACTTATTTCCTTTGGGAGTCGGAATTCATTTCTTCACTGGAACACTTTCCTTGTACTAGTCTACTTTAATGAATAAAATTTCTCCACCAAATAATACATTATACATAATTGTCGGGTAATTTATCAAATTTGTAGGTTTAATAGTATATGAGAATTTTGAATTTTTTAAAAATTAATTTCAATTTTCTATTTTTTTTTTCATTTAATATGATAATTAAATTAAGAAAGAAAATTAATTTGGTCATCTGATAAATAAATCGAATGTTGAACATTACAATACTAATGTGACGGTTTACAAAGTTAATATTCTTTTGATTTTAAATATTTATCAACAATCACTGAAGATATCATACACTTGTATATCATAATGTATGCATATTAAACATAATTTTAATATCATACAATTATATCATCAACATACAAAATATTATTATTGGATTAGTCAAGACTTACCAATTTTACACTTAATTTTTTTTAAAAAATATCACAAGTTATTCTCTTCAATATACACATATAATTATATTTGAGACATTTTTTAAGTGCCACTTTATACTAGAATATTATCTGGTATGCAAGGATTTATAAATAACCCTTAAAATTACTCGAAATCTGATTATATATAAACATAAGTGTGAATAACTTACAAAATTACCTAGTTATATTTAGATACAAATTCATAACTCTAAAGTAATCAAATAAAAATACTTTAATCACATAAATCTAGTTTGTTTGTTAGTGGTAAATAACATAAAAGATTACGGTTTTTTTTACTTTTGTTACAAAATAATGATGTAATATAACGTTAATTGTTTTACATTAATGACGCAATATGATAATATAAAAAATATTTCTAAATTCTATTCTTGAGTTGTAATTAAAATTGAATTTATTTTCTATAATATTTATTGAATTAAAATCGAATTTAATATTCTTTTTATAATTTTTAACTATAATTGTAGGTTTTAAAAAAATATATAAAAATATCACAAAATTAATAAAATTTAAATAAATCTAGTAGAAATTTAAAATAGGTATAAAATTTACATAATTATGAATAAAATATGTATATATATTTAAAATCGTTTTCTTAAATTTGTATCCAGATGGAATTGGCAAAACTATAGTAGAATGTAAAGACACACCCAGCGCCAACAATGGCTGAAAAACACAATCATTTGAAGTTTCAGTGTGAAAGCTCGTCCCATTATTATATTGGGGGTGCTTGCTTTCCATAGTGGATTATCGTATCGGAAGAATAACCAGTTATAAATATTTTTGTATTTGAGAATGATTTATGTATCGCAGTTAATCTAATTTTGATCCTAACTGGTCTATTAGCCCGTTCCAATAAAAGTGAAGCCCGTGTTTTCCAGCTAGGCTTTTTTAAATACTCTCTGCTTTTTGCCTCCTAAATCCTACAATCCATATTTGATCCTCCATTTCTTCAATCATCTCAGATCTTATCAATTTCAAAACCTACCCATCTCTTTTACTCTTTTTCCTTGCCTCCCCATCGAGTATCTACAATGGCCGCCGCCGCTACTTCTCCCCGCGACGAAAATGTCTACATGGCAAAACTCGCTGAGCAAGCCGAACGCTACGAAGAAATGGTTGAGTTCATGGAGAAGGTGTCCGCTTCAGCTGACAACGAGGAGCTCACCGTCGAGGAACGAAACCTCCTCTCCGTAGCTTACAAGAACGCTATCGGCTCGCCGTGCTTCCTGGCGCATCATCTCCTCCATTGAGCAGAAAGAGGAGAGCCGTGGTAACGATGATCACGTCACTACTATCCGTGATTATCGCGCCAAGATCGAGTCCGAGCTTACTTCCATCTGTAACGGGATCTTGAAGCTCCTTGACACCAGACTTATCCCCTCGGCGTCTGCTGGAGATTCCAAGGTCTTTTATCTTAAAATGAAGGGAGATTATCATAGGTATTTGGCTGAGTTCAAGACTGGAGCCGAACGCAAGGAAGCTGCTGAGAGTACTCTCACTGCTTATAAATCTGCTCAGGTTTTCAAAACATTACCTCTTTTTTTTCAGATCTAATTGGATTTTCCCCTTTTTTTGTTAACATTTTATCTGTTCATTAGGACATTGCCAACGCCGAGTTGGCTCCTACTCACCCGATTCGACTCGGACTGGCACTCAATTTCTCTGTTTTCTACTATGAGATTCTTAATTCTCCCGACCGCGCTTGCAATCTCGCCAAACAGGTTGATTACAAATGTCTTCTTCTACTAGGAACTTTTTCATAAATCTAGACTGGCGACGTGAATTTTCTTTTCCCTTTATGCCCAGGCATTTGATGAAGCAATAGCTGAGTTGGATACTCTAGGGGAGGAATCGTACAAAGACAGCACCCTCATCATGCAACTGCTCCGTGACAATCTCACTCTTTGGACTTCAGACATGCAGGTAAATTAATATCACCTTATAAAATAAAAATCCTTTCCCCCCTCTGAAAAAATGCACATACTAATTTATTTACAAATTAATTAGGATGACGGAACCGATGATATTAAAGAAGCACCGAAGCTTGAGGAAGAGCAGCAACAAAAGCCTCAGCAGTAGTGAGACTTTGCCAGGTTCTTTCTTCTATTATAATTTACCGATTTGGGGTTTCAATTCAGAATGAAACATGTACCAATTTGATGTGTTTCTTATGGAAGAAGATTTGCTGCTTCCATAACATATTGTCTTGTCTTTGTTTTACTCAATCGTTCGTGTCCTCAGTTTTTTTGTTTGTCCTTTTTAATTTTATTTAGCTTTCGACGTGCTATGAATGCTTTCTGCTATCTTTGCTCTGCCTGTAGTTTTTACTTGTGGAATGAAACTGAAAATGGTTTTGAAGCTGGGAATTTACTACTGTTTTAGGGTGCTTAACTCATTTGCTAGTAAATTTTATGGTAATTATATTCGTTTATAATTATTTAGAGAAATAACATATATTTTAATAACTTAAGATAAAGACACGTTTAATTGGAAGTATCTTATCAAAAACGTTCTTAGGTGGATGTGTTTTGACCTTACATGGCATAACGTGTCGGGTTCCCCGTTTTCATTCGATGAAAGGCGTGATTTACCGTTTGTGCCTTTCATTGAAAATTTTGAAATATAATTATTTATTTAATTTATATTATATTAAATATTGAAATTCTTAATTAATTGTCTCTTTAATTTTTCGTTTAAATTATTTTATTTCATAATTTTGTTTCATTTAAATAATTAGTGTTGTATAATTTATATTTAAAAAATGATATTTTAAATAATTACTATTAAATGGATCGTGTTTCAATAATGAATAATAAATTAATTTGTCTTGATAAATATTTAAACTTATGATTTAAAAAATACTTCAAATAAAAATATAATATTTTATATTGCGATTATTGAGATTAATATTTAGGATAAAACAAAAAACTAAATGATTAAAAAAGCCTTCATTTACAATTACATGAACGTCGTAAATTCATATTTCTATTAAATTGCATTTATTAAAATCATATAGAAAAATCAGTAACATAATAATCAAATACACTGTCTACATCAGATATGAGATTGCAGTCATTGTTAAAATTGTTGCATCCAAAAATGAAAATGCAAGTTCAGGAATAATGTCTAATTTATTAACGTACAGGTTTTATACAATTTTACATATAGTTAATCAATCAGATAGTTATATATAGTAGAAATTTAAAAAATCAAACTTATAAATTATAATATGTTTAGGGTTATTTTTTCTAACCTAAGTTTTTGCCTTTATCTTTCTTTTTTTTTATTTTGTTTAGTCAGTGACTACATCAATCTTAATATTAATTATCGATTGTTGATGGTAATTATTTTTCTTATTTTTTCATATTATATCCTTTGTTTCTTCTAGTTTTATTAATTTTAAATAAAAATCATTATTCTTCCGACACTTTCTTTGCTTAACACACTTTTTCTTTATTCTTGTGGCATATTCTTATAGAGTTTGGTGTGTTTTTTGTATATCTCTGCAGTCGTGTTGGTACTTGTACAAAGATCCTTATGACATTTTTTGATCGGTTTGTCAGTAGTCACGTATTGTCATATCCCCTCTTTGATAAAAAGTTATTTGTTAATATAATCAAAATTATATAGCAAAACAATCTGACAAGTTGTCTGTTTGCTCATTATTTTTTATCACTTCGTAAAATCTCGTCAACAGAGACAATGAGTTTTATAAAGTTATTAAGTTCTTTTGATAGTGATCATTTTTAATTGAAGATTTTATTTTTCTTTGTATTTTTGGGTTTAATATTTTTATTTTACGTATAAGTTTTTCTGTGTGACTACTATCTTCATTTTTTCTCTATGTTTGGGTGTATTGTAATTTGGATTTATTTTATTATTTTTATTAATAAAATTCAATTGTAATTGTTTAAAAATTAAAAAAAAATCTATTTATATTTTAATGATAACTGCAAAGTTTTATTTATATTTTTTGAAAAAGCAGAAGACCGTGTAGTGATTGTTAGTAGTATACTACTCGGGGACGTGAACGGCAGCAGTAGCATCCTTTCATTAAAAGTATATATATATAAAATTCCAGATTTGAATATTACATATATATATATAAGAATATAAATATTTATTATTAAATGATTAAATTTTTTGAAATAAATATTAATTTGTATTTATTTCAAATTAAAATAAACGAGAGAAAGGTGAGCTGAGAGTATGGACTTATGGCCTACGCCCCTTTGCATTCTCTCTCTCTCTCTCTCTCTATGAGAGCCTGCATCACCATTTGTTTTCACAGATTCTTGTCTTCACTTGCTACCCATATTTATGCAAATTATAAGTGATGCTAACGGGCATTGGACTTATGGTTTTGTGTTCTTCTTTTTGACTTTAATAGTTAGTCTTCTCAGAATTTACAGCATTAAGTAATACTTGCTTGGAAATTTCCAACTTCATTCGATGAAAACATACTACCATGTTTCGATAAAAAAAAAAGTAAATTACATCATATTT